TTAGGACACAAAGTTTAGTGACAGTGTTTGGACACGCCGGATCATTTTTGAGACGGTTATCTTGGAGAACTTGGTAAATCTTGCACTTCCTCAACCGCGCGTTTGGTGCACTTGGCAAAATCGAGGAAAACGGCCAACCCCGAAAACCCTCCGATTGCAAAGCGTGAAGCACTGAGGGCTTGCGGGGCGGCCGTAGGCCGCCCTCCGTACCAGTTGCTGAGTGGATAAACTTTCGAGGTGATTGGTGCCGGTGAACCCTCTCACTGGTGCGGATGAGCCCCCTATGCCATTGGTATCTAGCTCGATCAACCTTAGAATACTCTATCATTCGATATAAGTCATATTAAGACGAAATTGAAGAGCTCAGTACAAAGCCAGTGTAACACATGACCAGTAAAGAGACTTTTGGGAATCTTTGAGAGTATATTCGAGGACCTCAGTGTGATACTCGGGTACCATGCATGGGATACCATTACAACCCTCATCCGCCTGACGTTCACGCTGTTACGGTAGGATACGATCTTATGTCGCTTAGTGTAATTATCTTTGAGTTCAGTACATAGTTGAATGTATACTGTAGATCAGTATCGCAGTTCTATAAGTGGACACTATGGTTTATGATGATGATAGTATTGAGAGGGTATTGCCTCGAGTCAACCATGGGCGGTCTTATCTTATTAAAGTAGATCACTTCTCCTTAGCCCAACTTTGGCCAGCAGAAGAACAAGGGCAAACCGCACAAGTGAGATAATAGAATCGACCAACCAACGACTCTTTATACAGCCAGGAAGGCCGACCACGATAGGACACCACTCACAGTGTGAAAATTCAATGCAACCGGCACGGCTTCAATTAGTTATTCAATCATCATCTCTTTTTCTAAGACTGCCCTCATCGGTATGTTCCTACACCAGGTTTGTCATACCTTGATCGTGAAGATACGCCGTTCCTCGTCACGGGTATGAGTTTCGTGGGGCGTGACAAAAATATGGTAAGAAAATACAAGAATGTGCAAGTCGAGCAAGGGATCTGTTCATCATCGTAAGGGACCATCATTCTCCTTATCCGTGGACGAGTGCTCTTTCCAAGAGGAATCACTGCCCGTTATAGAATTATATTTTTCGAAAACCATCAGTGGCGACATGTCGGATACTCCCACTAGCAGCCCAGTCGAGCCACAGCAGACTGGAGGGCCTCAGGGATGCACTCTCCTCATTTACTACGATAAGGGGGTACCACCGACACAACAGGAGCTACAGAAACGCATCGAGAATGTAATACAGTCGGAAGTACTCGCAAGGTAGTATAGCGT